ATATGATATATCCGTTTTTAGCAATAGCATATGCTACTGACAGAGAAGCAAAAGAAGTCTGTCATAAAAGTATCTGGAAACCTAGTAAATGCATGTCTCCATATCCCTCTGTGCTCAAGTGAACAGGACAGGGCAGTCACTTCTTTTGCAGGGAGGAATTGCGGCATCACAAATTCCCACATGAATAATTGCTTTAGGTTAAAAAAAAGGCCATATAGAAGTTGGGTAACAGCAAAATAAAGCAGCAGATTGTCTAGAGCAGAAACCTCCCATCTAGCAGATGATTCTGAAATGGTCTGCTCTCATACCGGCTACATCATTTCTGCTTTTAACAAGGSTCACCAGCAAATGCTCCTTTGCATTTTAAATATGGCATTTTAGTTCAAAGCTCTCTTCCGAGGCTAAGAACAGTATGGAACCTATGAGCTCTTCTACAGTTCAGCTCCTTATGACTCCCTCATGCCACTATTCTCTTTGATAAGACATACCTAGCAATTTTAGCAAATTTATTGCATCAACGTCTAAACAGACTGTCCAAACCAGATGTAAGCAAAGCAACAAACCGAAAAGGCAAGATGAAGAAATCCAAAGATAACCATCGTTTCCAAGAAGGCCTGAAGACAGAATCATTGTTTCCAAATTTGAGAGACTTTCCAGTATTACAAAAGACGGGGAAAGCATTAAGGCAAACGAGCACAGGCCATGAGCACTTACTTATTGGCACACACATTAGAACAACTGCATCTGGAAACGAATGCCTTGGACAACCCAGACCACGGCCTCGTGGGGTGTGCGGGACGCAGGTGGGAAGTCCAGTGTACCCACTCTTCTCTGCAAACCAACACACCTCTGATGTTACAAGTGAGCATGAAACTCACCTTAACGCAGACCTCGTTCACTGCATGAAGCTCAGGGAAGGTTGCTTTACCTAGCAAAGGACGTTGAGCCTGCTCACAAGGAAAAGGGCAGCAAGGTGCAAGGTAGCAGGTCCAGTTTATTTTACACAAACCAAAGGTGAGCATCATATGCTGCAACCCAAATACTGACACGGTTCTCGAACCGAGAACATCCTAGACACTTGGTTCAACTCTACATGGGGGCAGAATATATGCAGAATGTAAAAAGCTGCCATGCTCTTGGTATTATGGCAGGAAAGTAATTTGCTTTCTTGGTCAAGTCTTCATTTAATCTTGCACAGTCTCTATTACTAGCAGCTTACAGCTTTGGAGAGGTTTCTTCATACTAGGTGCATAGTTTCTGTTGTAATGTGAGGGGCAGAAGCATGCAGAAACCACAGCAGTAGACCATGATCCTCCTGCGCTGAATACTAAAACCAAATRTAATTTCAACACTGAGTTCTCTGCATATAAATTCTGCAAGTCAGCTCTGAAGCCGCAAAAGGACTAAGATTGTTTTCCCTCAGTCAAAGCAGCAGCAATATCTCATGTACACTAAGGACAGGAACGTTTTTTCAAGTGGAAAGTAACATGTCTTTAAGATCCTGTCTGTTTGCTGGCTACAGTTTCACTGCAAGCACATTGAGAGTTAAGTTACAAGCTCATAAACTGCAAAAATTTCTTTAACTCAAAACTGTGCTTTCTTGCTCCAGCCTCAGCCAGACTAGACAGGTCAGAAGCCCTTAGTGCTTATGCTGAACTTCACAGCTTTCCATTACTTCCTTTTGCTCCCTTTAACAATGGTTTCTTTGCAGTTTTCTCTAGTTTAAACTAGCTCTCACCATTTTCCTTCCCTTCCCTCAAAAACCTCCTAATACCTTTCACCTTTTACCTACTATGTTATTGGACAATTCCTGCATCCCGGTCAAGAGGCAACAAGATGAAAACTGAGAACTGGCTTAAGGCAAAGCACAGCTCCCCAACAGAGACAGAGAGAATTCCAGGATGGCAAGAATCTCTGCAAAACACGGTGTAAAGCTATGTGGACAGGCAAATTACACTGGTTTCTCTGTCATGAGATCTGCATTTTGTTCTTGTTAGTGCGTTGCTACAGACTTACTTGCACTTACTTTACTTACTTTACTCTGTGAGCTCATACACATTTCATTTCAGTGAAGATGCATTCTCACAGGGTGAAAAGTACCTTCTCCGGCATCAACTCATCGGCAGTGCTTCTATTTTGAAACCCAAACCATCCCCAAATAATACAATGGGTATTATTTCCATTACCTTCTGTGACAACAGCACCTCTAGAGCAGGGAACTTTCTCCAGAAGGCATCACTATACTACACTGCTGGTCCACCAACACCTCAATTACACCTAGAAGAGGAAGGTAAAAACACAGAAATTCTTCATTCCTTGTAATTTAAGAGGTTCACAGGGATCTCTAACCATAAGGGATAACAAATTCTCAAGGGGATCAGTGCAGGGCTATGATGTAACATTTAAAAGCACATTATCCACATGCAGACTGACACTATCACTCAAAATGTTTTACGGTTCAGCTGTTGGGCATTGACAGTCTCAGAAACATCTTCGGTGTTACACAGGCCAACTGTTACRATCACATCCCCTGACCAAAAACTCGAGCATTGAGAACCTGGCTGCAACCCTTTCTTCTAATACTAGAGCTTTTTATGTAGGAAAAGCTCCATCTCTTAAGTCATGGCTTATTGCACTTGCTTAACCAGGCTAGCTCATAAACTTTTTCCAAAGCAGTGACTGAAAAACTAGTCCAGACCCATCAGAGTAAAAGACCCCCTGGGAGCAGAAATTTTCTGGCAGCACTGCACACCCTATAATCACTCAATCCATCTAACTGCTAGCTCACAGCACCAGAAAGCACAATGTAGTTTGCATTCATAATGACACTCAATTTCTTGCTCAGACTGCAATTCAATTTCCTTCCACTTACATTATGAAGTGAAGTTCAATCCTAGGCTGAAAGAAGAGATCTTGACTTGCAGGTACAAAATTTGAGGTTGTAACAAAACATAGAAACTAACAGAAATTCTAGATGCAAAGATCCTTTTCTCTCAGCACTGGGTACCTAGCAGCCTCTCTGCATAAACTGTCATCACTACAGCAACCTGAGTTAGCATTTGTTATCTGTGAGATGCTATCGTCAAAGCTCATTTGGGACCATTTAAATGCTCACATTGGCAAGCATGCCAATTAAGGAAGCTCAGCTCAGCTCCAGTCAACTTCAACTGGTTTGGTGCTGCCAGACTTCTGCCGTGTTTCCCTAAGAATTTCAAGCAGAACGCAAAGTACCTCTCTAACAGCAGCACAAAATGTAGTGTCTCATTCTGCAGGCGCCCTACTGAAGCTGCGTGSAGGCACAGAACTGGAGTACACGTATTGACCGTACTTACAACCAAGCACAGACACGTTTCTGTGTTCCCATAAGCTTCTAAGATTGCTTCAAGACAAGAAATATGTGTTTCTTAGGAGTACATCAGGCAGAGCAGATAAAAACAAAAGTAAAAATAGTAAAATATGTCTCTATTGAACAAGGTGGATTCTCCTCCCTGCAAGTCAACAAACTCATATGCTGCCATTCTACGTGGTCTGTTCACCATAACCGAATCTTCTCTAAAGAGAAAGCAAGACAGTGATCTCATCATGATGAAAATAGCAGGACTCGAAGTTCTACATGCGACACAAATATGGCTAAGACTCTAAAATCAAATTCTGTACATTATAGTGGAAYCCTGGTAATAAAAGTTAGGCTCCGTCTCATTCTTGTCTCAATGGGAAAAGCAAACAGGATTTTATCTGCAACCTACTCTCAGCAGTCAAGAAATGCCCTAATCTGAAGCTATCTTGACAATAAAAATATTGCAGATGATCGCCTTATCTATCTTCCCAGGCTGCAAATTCTTCAGTCTTAGAGCAACTCAGCTTTGTCCTACTATTCCAGCCTTACATAGTCTCCATACTTCTTCAKCATCTACTCTTGCAAATGAGAAACTACAAGAAAAAGGACTTGCCTCTTGAGAGGAAGGTCCTATATTGTCAGTTTGCCAGGTCTGAAGCCCTGTAAAAAACTTTTCCCATCTGCCCTGGGGCTTCAATTAAGGCTGCATAATGTTAGACTGGCTGCTTTCAGTAATATTCAGCTGGTTAAGAGCATACAGAGATTCCCCTTGTACTGGCCTGCCACTTCCTGAACAGGGATACAGCTCAAAGGCAAGCTTTCCAAAAGACACCCACTAACAGGTCTCTCTTAGTTGTAACAGCTGCTGCTGTAACCTCTCCCTACTACATAAGAAAATAGAGTATATTGCACGCAAGGAGGGAATAAATACTGGTAGCAGCCTGAACCTGAGTAAGGAGAATGCGCTGGTACCAGCAGGGAAGGAGACTGTCCGTATGCACAGGGAGATTGTGCCTTCCCTCTCTGCAGGTACCAGCAGATTCTCTTACCTTCATGTCCCAGTGCTGCCCCAGGCGCTGACATCTCTCTGGTCCCTCCTTCTCACGCAGGCTGAGTCAGAAGAGYTGAGGTTCCCACCAGCATAGAAGAAGCCTTTACAGCTACAGCTGACAGACAAGAAGACTCTATGCGATAAGTAGAGAGGCAAAGAAAGCAAAATGGCTCAGATCAAGCCTGTGACATTTAGCTGTCCACCTCCAGTACTGCAATCACAGTCTTAGGAAGAGAAGATGAAAATTTAGAACACGTCCATTTAGACAGACATCAGACCTGTACTGCTGTACTGTTTTATGCATTTTAGGAGTCTTTAAAGGCCTGAGCTTAATTCATGTATTTTCAATAAGAAGCTGAATTAGGAAAAAAACAGGGCAGGGGAGAGGGATATGAAGAAATGGAAGACATAACCAAAAGTAAATGATAGTACTGAAGGAAAATAAGGAGAGGATTGAGTTACTTCCGTATCTCAAGTTACCATCTAAGTAAACTTACTGCTGACAGACTTCCTGGCACACCTTGTCCTGTCTCTAGGCCTGTTTTGTAGGTGTTCAGTCAAGATAGCTCCCAGTGACTTCCTTAGCAGTTGAGTGGTCTGAAAATCAGGAACAGGTTTGATTGGTGAATCCTAAACAGAGTGGAAAAAAACAGCTTTGAAGAGTCATAGAAGTAATAAAAAATAAAGTAATAAAACSCAAGATGGATGAATTCTTGGATGGATGGATGGTGTGCTGCATGCATGGAATCAGAGAAATAGCAGCAATGTGTCAAAAGTTCCCCCATCAGGGCTCTCAGTGTGATCAGCTCTGGCTAGCTGGGTTTGACCTCATTTTTCCCTTGGATGGTGGAGTCTCAGTTGTCTCTCTAATTAAAACTGAAGATTGGGAAAAGGTGGCATTCCTGGGAACAATATATAGCAAAGTGAACTGCAGKTGACAGCCCTATAAGCTGCTTTAATGCTTCCCTGAAAACACATGGTACAGTAGGTTTGTGAAAATGCATAGCAGACACAGGACTGCATAGCACTACGCTTCAGGAAAAGCACCATATTACTGTAGAAGTTGATGCGATGCCTTGGCAAGACAAACCACACCTTTTTCTTTCTACCACAAGGGAAGYTCTCCACTGGTAAAACTTGGTTAACCACTTCTCTTTCCAATAAATCACCAAAAACACTTCGTGAGAATCTCTGTGAACTAGGTCATGGACAAAATGCCTTCCATGTCACTGTCATGAAGGAAATACACATATAAACAAGCAATCTTTGGTTTTCCCCTGACAGTCTCTTCTGGAAAAGGTTGGCTGTCACAAATTATTACAGAGAGTGTCTCCTCTTCATGGCAGCAGAACTGAAYTTTGCTTTTAATTCCACAGGAATCTCCAACAACCAGCTCTGCTAGATGAGACTTGAATTGCTCTGTATTTCTGTCTGGAATAGCCACCTACTCCGAAGAAAAAATCACTACATCCTGATCAGACAGAACAAATCTCCTCCCAGTTCCAAATGTGCAGCTATAATTGAGCATTTTTAATGGGGGRCACACCAGGGCAGGTTAACTGAGGTTCTGGAGAATTGCAGACCTCTCCCTGCCACGTTTAGCACCACAAATGAGCTATGAACGAGTAACTCGAAGGGGAAATAGCCGCTTGGCTGCACAACCTCCTGTTCTCAGTTTGCAGCTGGATCCAGCTTGCTTGCTACTGTGATTAGGCTCCTCCACAAGGTGAGTTTCTCCTTGACTCCAGGATATACACAGCAGAGTCTCAACATTTATTCCCAGTCCAGCAGGTGAATCAAAAAATTAAAAATCAGAACAACCACCCTTTCCAGGAGTAATTCTGCAGCATGAATACTTCCTCTCAGAGCTTGGCTAAGAGTTTTGAAATTGCAGTTTGCTATGAGAGGGCACAGAAGCCGAGGTAAGCAAAGATTTATAATTCTACAAAGTTTTCCTCGTTCTTATTTACTGGTGACCTACAAAGCATAGGTAAATACRCTATGGAAAAACTGTTTAGAGAGGTAAATCATTGATGGGGGACATTTGATCCTAGATTTATTATAGGTCAAGCAACATTCATATCTTAAATTATTTCCCCTATGTAATAAAAAAGGAGCASGTCTATCTTTTGTTCCAGTTTCTTCAGAAGTGTCATAATGTAAATCCAAACCATGAGTATCCATTTTTATCTCTGATCTCTGCCCTGGTACTGTGAGCATATTCATTATATGTCACTTTTTCCCCAAAAAACAGCTAGCTCATGATCTACACTTCGGACTATCATAATTCTCCCTTCCCGCCTTCTAACTTTGCAGCAAAATTCAGTTCCCAGTGAACCATAATTTTAATACAGCCATAACTCTACCTACCAAGCAACTCCGGAACGACAACGCTGTGATCCTTTACAGCACTGGAAACACAGCTTCTCAGGACGCTACGTGACCTGTGATGGACGAAAGCACAATTATTAAACTTTTAAAGACCTTTCTCTGAAGGTCATATCTGTGACTGACCATCAGGCATCYGTATAATACGGGAGGCCAATCCTGGCTTCCATTATACCATTATCAAAATCGAATTAGTGTCAATTACAGATATCCAATTTCTGATATCTCTGATATAGGTCAAAATTCTTTAGGTCCTGCTGTCTCTGAGCATGGAGTTAAGGATACTGAGAGGTGCAAACTGGAAAATACAATACGAAAATCTTCTTAAAATGTAATTAAATCTAATTTCACTGAGTGTGAAAATCTACAAAGAATCAGTCAGGAGATCAGTGTTGTTAGCAGTGTTACATGTGAACTGAGATCCAAATGAAATTCCCATTGAACATTTCTTCACCAGAAAGAAGTCAAACCAAGAGCAATAGCATCTGGTATCACACAACATAGCTGTTTTTGGGGCTGTATGCGTGACAAGCCAACGTTAACAGAAGCCAAGAAGGACTGAGCCTTTACAAACACTCTTAACAAACACTGTTAGCACCATTGTATGGCTTTGTTAGCACTCTGGGCAGCTCGATGACTGAAGTGTATTTGCTAAGAAATTGAAAGCTGTGGGGAAAAAAGAATAGTTTGAACAAAATTGTATATACTTACCTTTGTTTTGATCTAAAACAAACATTTCCTTTCTCTGGGAAACTGTTACAAGGAACAATTTTGATAAATTTTCTTTATTCTTGCTTTCCACTCTGCCTTTTACAAGTGTAACTTGGAACMACACAGCACGCAGAGTTAGCTTTACCACCTGTCTGCTACCACTGCTCCCCGCGGGTATTACAGAGACAGCAATCAATCAAGACTGAGAGGTATCAAGACAAAGCAGTTCTGCTTCTGTCTCTTCAATCCTTTGAGCAATGCAGCTCCGCTGTATTTCAAGCAGCCGGGCTTCATCCCTCTTTGTGGCCCAAGAATCCAGCAGCTCTGGAAAGCTCTGAGCTCTGCACACACGGTCGATGCTTGGTGTCTATTACAGAAATTGAAAACAAAAGCACAGTGCAAATTCACAGATATGGACAGCTCAGCCACTGCTGAGGCAGCCTACTCCAATGGGCAAAACATGGGACAGGCCACAGTGCCAACACTACACGCTGACTCAGGGACCCCAGTCCATGTAGCAGGCTGCATAGATGCCTATGGATAACATTTTCAGCCCCATCTTGAAGAAAATCCTCAGTTCAGAAGATATCCTGCTTATTTTCACTTTGTTTATTTACTACTATAAATCCGTATCTGTGAAAGGAAACAGGCTTCCCATTCTCTTGCTAATAAGTTACTACTTAAGATCACACAGTTTGGCTATATATGTTTTGCCCAGAAACCATTTGTGATGAACAGAAAAGTTCTAACAAATGAGCTTGCAAGAAATCAAAATCCTATGTTTGTGCAAAGTTTTATTTCTAGTTAACTTTTATTTCACAGTATGCTACATAGCAGCTTTTTAAAAACAAATGGAGAAACAATTTCATGATACTATGCATGAATAAAAGAACAAAAGAAACAGGACTCACGGCAGTTGACTCCTTGTGCATTCTTAGCTCCTGCTCCAACAATTCCCCCTCTTCCTGGCTTCTCAGGATCTGTACTGTCAGTTCCAAAAACTCCTCATTTAGCTTATCCAACATCTCCTCCAATTCTGCAGCCTCCAGCTAGAGAACACACAACATCTTCGTGAATAGGCAAAACAAATAATCAAGATTACTAGCATATGAAAGGAATTAATTTTCATGTTTTCGCCATGACTTCTGGGTAAAACATTACTGAGATGCAACGGAAGGAAAAACTTAATCATGAAGACAGGCTGTCAGTCCAGAATACAGGAAACATGTTCTGCAATGGCAGCAGCTTCTAGCAGGGGACATTGTTTGAAATGGGTGGATAAAAAAGCTAGATCATATTCATAGCAAGAAACAGATATCTCACTGAATCTGCATGTCTCACATGGAAAAAAAATAACATCAGAAATGTGAGAGATGTCCCAAACTCACCTGCCCATCCGCCACTTCTCCTTCACCTTCACTGGTCTGCATCAACTCTGCCGCCACATCCTGTCCTGGGACCTGCTGTCCCACCTCTTGTTTCACAGGTGCGTTCTTATGCTGAACTCTCCCAAGCAGGATTGTCAACGCTTTCATCAACTCTGTTGCCTCTTGCCACGGAGCACCTAATGAACCCCACCAACAATTCAAATGTAGTTTTACAAAACCAGAACTCAACTGAATCAAGGGCACGAATCCTCCTTTGCAAATTCCAGAGGGTGGCTTCAATATGTCTCCTAAGATGACCAGTCAATAATAAATTAATTGAGCTTTTCTGTACTTTTAGGATGGTGCTCCAACATTTCCAAGTGGCCCTGTGCTTACCAGTCCCTAATATGACAGAGCAATCTCATTGCATAACTCATTGAGGATAGGCTGTCAAATCCTATGGAATAACATAACATGATCACGGAGCTTGTGGGATCTCTTCTCAGCTGTACGACCCATGCCATTTTTAAGCATCCTACTGGTGTCCCTTATACTCGTTTTCTCTCCCACTCTGTAGTCATGTTCTCACCTGTGTGCATTACTGTTTCAAAGTTCTTGCTAGAGATCTCATCACATTTTTCAGTGCTCTGGCTGCCTGAAGCTCTGCATCCACAAGCTCTTTGCCTGGTGAAGTTTTTCAGACTTTCAGAGTCCAGCACTTTCAACATGTCCTGTTTACAGCAAAGAACAGCAGTATTCAGCTCTGTAAGCCTCACTACCCAGCCCTCCCATCTTCAGCTTCACATACCAAAATAGAAGGTAGCATATTTCATGCCCAAGTGGGCTACAACTGAGAATGCACTTACTTTAAACACCAAAAGTAATATCTAATCCCTGGTAAAATCCCTCCTCATGGGGGATTATCTGTCTCACAAGTTTCATAACTCTAAGCCTCTCTTCCCTTTGATGTTTCTTCATACTGACCATGAGACTTTGAATCTGCTGCCTGACTCCTTTGTAAAACACCAACACATCCATCCTCTGCTTTGCCAGTTGAGATGCGAGGTGCAAATTCTGGTCTTCTAGCTTATCATACACAGTGCGAACGCTGAAATCCTCCAGATCTCGCAGAGTAGAATGCTCTGCTAAAACACAAGGTACACATCATGCCTCGCCTCTAGCCAATGAATTTATTTCCCAAAAGAAAAAATCCAAATGAATTTATTTCCCCAAAGAGCATCAATTATCCATAAGAGGCAACAGCTTTTTCTGCATCGTGAAGAAGGAAATTGGATAAACAGACAGAAGGTCATAACTCTGGCTGCTTAGCAAGAAAGAGGATGACYGCAATACCATCAACTTGTTCTGTAATCAGGACTCTACATTTCTGCTGGCTTTGTAGCTTTGAGTGGCAGTTTCTTCGTAAACTGTTTTCAGCATCAGTAGATGGTGCCATCTACCGGGCTCTGGACTTGCTGAGCCTTGTGAACATCTACAAATACCCAAGATATGGTCATCCACAAAAGCCAAGAGAGGTCCATAGCTCAAGTGTACAGAGAACGCAAAAGGCCACAAAGGATTGGCACACTATTTTACCTGCATTCTGTGCAGCTCTTTTCTCTCCAAAGTCAGCCTCTTCTCCAGCAAAATACGGACCAAGTGTCTGATAGAACTGAAGGCTAGGGAAGGAAGAAAGAGAAGGTGAAGAATGTCCCTGCATTTGACATGCTCACTCTGCCTGTCAAGTACAAGAATAGCTTTTTTCTCTAGATTTTGAGGTCAAGGGGTGAAAGAGAAGCCCAGGCCAGGAAATTCAAGTAGTGGCAAGAAGATAATGGCTCCATGCGGAAGCCACAACAGAAGTATGATACACTGTATCAAAAAAGAAGTGGAATACTACAGAGAAAACCAAGGAATGAGGAAACGATATGAGGAAAACCAAGAAGCTTTCTGTGCAGATGGAAACTCAGCCTACCGCAATACTGAGGAGGAGTCGAGCACCAGGGACTGGGMGGTTCAGTAATTGCAAAGGGGCTTGCCTGTCTTTAAGGAAGATGTACTCTGGCGGGACGTGTGGCTCACCCAGGCTCCTCCATCGTGGCTTCCAGCTCTTCAGGGGGCTAACAGAGGGGGCAGCGGGATGCAGCACGATAGCCAGGGTTGTCAACACCACAATTAAGAAAGCCAGAACAAAAAGTACAGCTGCAAGAGCCAAGAGGAATAGCAAGAAGTGAAAAAACCAGGACACTATGGATCAGTATGGGTATTTAAATTTCACTGAATGCTGTCTCGTCCATCTGAAACTAACATTTATCTGCCTTCCCCTTTATTAAATTAGTTTCTGCTCCTTTACCCACTGATCTGATGCATGGGGTAAGGAGGCAAGATGGTTTAGTAGAGGTAGTTGAAGGTGACAGCACCTCTCATTTACAAGCCATGTTTTAATTTCTGTTGCTTTGTTGTTGTCTCACTAAGGTACAAGGGGCTGGCATGTGCACAGCGCTTGCACAGAGGTATACCCTGGGGTAAGACCTTAGCTGCCCTTCCATTAAACCTTTAGTGAACTTTTAGAGATGCATGTTATTTCAGTTTAGTTTATCACGGAAATACAGTGACACTTTCTGCTTTCATGCTAAGGGAAACAAAGACCTCAATTATCTGAATTCTTCAAGGAGGGTGGGGGAAAAAACACAACTGCTACTTCCCTCTTTCTCCTTCTGCTCCTACCACAGGCATCTTCTTGGCTATAGAGCAGTGAATTTAGGGCAAGGGGACTAAAACCGACATCCAGTGGTTTGATAGTATTTCCAAAGAGATGCTAGTTTAAAAACATCCAAATGGGTACAAGGAGCCTAAGCTTCAAGGTGTCACAGTGTTTTGGCCATACCTGTGATAGCAGCCCAGTTAGGGGCTACATTCAGTTCCTGATGCTTCAGAATCCCATGCCTGGCCAGCTGGAAAGGAGAAGAGGGCTGGAAGGACACACCTCTGGGGTCACAGCCCACGTTTGCCTCATTCACAGTCACAATCAGGAAGTATTCCTGAATGGTCCTGTCCCGGAAAACATATGTTCCAGAATCCAGGAAAACATGGGCAAACCTAAATGGAAGCAGCAGGGGAGACAGTGGTTGATCTAAGGCTCCATTAACTTGCAGCAGTGATGATGGCTGAATACAAGGGTTTCAGCACACCAAACTTTTGTTCTGCATTTTTACATGCCAAGGACCCCCAAAAGACCCACACCCAAGTCTAACCCCTAGTCACAGCAGATGTTACCAGGAGATGTTGAGGCGAGTCTCTTGGATGAGGTGGTCCAGCCGTCGGAAGGGCCCAAAGTCCCAGCCAGGATTGCTGTTATAAAGATGCAGCTTCTGATAAACAGGGTAGTGGCTGGCTGCACGATCTGGGAAGAGGTCAGCACGGTGTCAGCAACTACGAGCTGCTCCAGTTTGCCAGACCAGTGTCAGCTTTCCTAAGTGCTACGCTGTTCTATTTGCTTTACGGGGAGATGTGCTGTCAAGACATTTAACTGAGGTGTGTGCTACTGCCCAACCAAGGCTTACGCTCATCTAATACAGGAAGCATTTTATCTATTCTATAGAAGTTCAGTCAAAAATAAAAACACCAGATGAGTCACTRGCAGAGCCTGGACTAAAGATCAGAAATTGCCTGAAGGCGAGAGAGACAAGGAAGCGAAAGAATGTGCTCAGACATGCAGTGCTACCAAATGGGGAGTCACTGCTCTCCAGGGGTCTGGGTACACATGTATCTGCAAAGTGCACGCTGAGTCAAACAACACCACTTACCGYGGGGGTTGATGCTCAGCTGGAAAAGGATGGCGTCTCCCGTTTCCAGACACACGATAGGGTTGGGGACAAGGGGCAAGGCATGAATATCTTTGGAGGAGGCCACCYGGCTTCCACGGCCTTCCTTCAGGAACGTGTCCGATGAAAAATCTCCTGCCACGGGCAAGAGAAGAAAAGAGAATGGATTCTGCTAAATTTGCAGCATGGAAAAACTCCCATCAGTAACCCTTAGCAATGCAGAGCCGTTTCTTTTGCATCTGTGGGCAATTACAGACCATAGTCAAATTCTGCTCTCACCGAGACTACCATAAATCAGGAACAGATGGAATCCAAGGGCAGCTGCTGAGAGCGCAGTACTGAGCATGCATCCTCCAGCAGATTTGTTTGCAAAAGGAGTTTTCTCCCAGTTCCCTGGAAGGTCAAAATCATCCCTATTTTCGTCTGACCAGTTCCCAGGGAGCTAAACAAGCAGTCAAGTGCAGGCCCCCATTGGTTCCTACCAGATAAAATTAAATTCCTCCCTACTTGGTAAATAGTTTGTACTGGCTGACAATAAATTCCCTTTGAGTCTCSAATCTGCTGTAAGGAAATTAATAGTTTAGTCTGGCTGAGACTCAGGTTCATCCCTAAAGGCCTCTCAAGCCTTACCTGTGAGAAAGGCATCCAGAACATCCGTGCTGGGCACAATGAAACCTAGCACTCCACTGGGACTAAACAGAACCAAATGCACTCGCTGACTCTTTTGCACATGTTCATCTGGACCCAAAATGTTTGTCAATTCCTGTTAAAAATGAAGGGGAAAACTGATACAAGTGATACTAGACTCAAACCTTTGTATGTGATCTGCTTCTACCTTTAATTAAGCTGTGCAAGATTGGTCCAGGAGGTTTTCTCCCACCATTAATGCACTACTATTCCTCAGTAATGCACAAGCCTCCTGCCCAACCTGTACTCAGCTATAAGGGGTACTGAGCCTCCTTTTCTCCTTCCTCTTTACTCAAAACTTGCTACCTTTCATAACTGCAGCCCCGTGCAGTTCCCTCACCCCACTGAAATCTGAAGGGGCTCTCTCCAGGCTCACACTCACAGCAATCCCCAGCTCCATGACTTACCCTCTCTTCTCCTTCACCCATCTTCAGAAGCAGCTCTCTGTTGATGCCAAATCTCAAGGAGATCTGTGGAGCTCTCAGCAAACACGCTTGGTCGCAGAGCTCCTCTGCAGACACATACTGCTTGCAGTGACATCTTTAATAAGGGGAGAGAGAAGGTCTTGATCACTTAGGATGCCTGAGCAAACAGCTATAAGATACCAAAGGCCAAGTTAGCCCCAGCACCTTATACTCCACACAGTGAGTTGGCCTGCTCCATATTCATAGAATAGAGAGGGACCAAACTCACAGACCATCTCATGCAGCATTCCCTCTGGTATCCCATGCTTCCCAGTCAGCACAAGGACCATACAGTAGGCCAAAATGTGGTACTCAATTCTCTATAACAGGACTCAGTCGATGTCCTCAACAGAGGAACTCCAGCAACTTCCCAGCAATTTCAGTTTCCSAGAATTACCTCCCTGGAGCCATGCCCTGTCCTGACATGACCTCACGGGAGCAGTAACTCAACCAGACCCAATCAYGAAATGTTTCTTAATCAGAGGTTGGAGTGAGCCTTACATGCCGAGCTCCGCATTAATCTCTCCACCTGCAGGTCCACAAGAAGCAGAGCAGTCGTATCGCTCGGGAGAAACACACTGACGTGTAGATGCGAGGCGGACCTCTCCAGGAGCACACAGCTCATCCACCTGCAACAACAGCATTTACCCCCATGTGTGCAACCAGATAAGCTCCAGCATCTCAACAGAAATGCCTGCAGTTCCCTAGAATCGGCTCCCCCTCCTGCTGGTGACACTCAACACAACAGCAATGCAAGGTGGCAACAAAAAGACTTGGAAAGATTACAACAACTTCACCTCTCACTAAATTTCCCTCAASACAGTTCTAATTAAGAACACCATAATGACAATGTTAAGGCTTAAATTTCTGTATCTGTCATCTCTCTGAGATGCTTAGCTGCTACCCTAGTAAGGCAARCATCTTTTACCTGCAGCCCCAAGTGAATTTAGCCTCAGAACACTCTGGTAAAGCAGAGAACTGCCATTACTCTAGAAAGACCTCAGTCTAAGCAGCTCAAGGACTTAAGTCTACAGCAGCCCTGTGCACTGAGCTCAGACTGCATRTACCCACACACCCAGAGACAGAGCCTAAAGCAGTGAGCAATTCTTTCTCCCCTCYTGTCACACAAAGCTTTGTTCTGAAGCTGAGGCTTACCTGAAGCTGGCAGTCCTGATCACTGTTGCTGTCAGGGTTTTTCTTGCCCCTCTCATCATAGTAAACATAACCTGCTCGGCAGATACAAGAGGCATCTGACTGCTGGAATGCCCGGTTCAGCCCGTGACAGGTACAGCTGGCAGCACCTTAGAGAACAGCTCGGATTTAGAGAGGAAMGCAGAATAGGGAATACAGTTTGCAGAAACTGTGCTCGCAGAAAAGGAGCTGTTCTCATGTTGAATGATCTCTGGGCAAATCACACTGCTCACTTCAGTGACCCACCTGCAGTTCACAGCCCCACCAGCACTGCAGGGCTGGTACTGCAGGAGCACCAGCTAGAACCAGCCTGAATTTTGCTCTGTCAACACAATCATTAGACATTTCCTGAAGTGTCCATTTAACAAGAAAAACAGAAAGMACCAGCTAGGGATTTGAGACATTGGTATACTTAGCCACTGTATAAGACAGAACTCAATCAAAACAAGGCTGCCAAGCACCTCTTTGCAGTGGCTCTACGCCCCAACTCTCCCTGATCCACTTGATTTGACAAGTACAGTACTGCAGAAGACAGTAAGGAATAGGCACTTTTTCTGCATTTAACTTTCCTCCTTCCAGACATTCCCTAGTTCACCAACAGCCCCAGCTGGGCATGGTTACAGAACCCAATTTAGGGCAGAAACCTCAAGTGTGCTTATGGCAAGCTCTGCACTTCAGGACAAAAGTACTCTTAGTGAAAGCAGAAGTGCTGCTTCCAAAGCAATGCTGGAGCAAGTACAAAGAGTGCTGCTTATTCCTTCTTTGTTTGAAGGAAATAAGACCAAATCCCCTTGTAYAACACAGCACAGAAGAACAAAAGACAGCTTTGGAAACCATGTCCTCCTCGGTGGTACAGAGGAAGCAAAGCCAGACACAGGCAGCACACATGCCACCAGGAGCATCCAGGGCATCCTGTAGCTTGCAATTCACTGGGAAATAGCGTGTGGGAATTGCATTCCTCGGTGCTTCCCTCTTCAGTCTTTCTCTTAAGAGAGATGAAAGTTTCGGTCAAAAACAGCAACTCACCGGGTGGAGAGGAAGAAGAGCTGCCACAGGGGAAACAGGCCGGCTGGGCAGGAAGGTGATTGAAGGAGCCCGCAGGACAGGCCTGGCACTCCTCGACACGCTTCGCAAAGCTGCTGCTCCCGTGGGTGCCAGGGGGACAGGCCAGAGGGGCAGGCACAAGGGCAGGGCAGTAGTAGCCTCGAGGACAAGGCTGCCGCTGGAAGCTCTCACTGCCTAGAGAAAGGAATGATGCTGGCTCAGACACTGCCCAGCGACCAAAGCAAGCAGCTACCGATGGGCAGACCTCACTTCTGATTTCCAGTTACACATATAAATGCAAATACTTATACACACTCACACGTGTATGCAAATAAAATTAAACTTCAAAAAATTTCCAATTAGTTTATTTATACCTACATATAAACATAGATCAGTCCCYGAGAGAAAGGGCGCCCAGATTCAAATGATCCTTGACGTTATTTCTCTAATCTCTCAAAGCAATCTACCATGAGAAAYGAGCCGCAGACTCATGTGCCAACTCACCGCAGGGATAATTACCCTAGGAGCTAGAAGAGCTTTATCCCTGTCTATCCTACACCTTTTTGGTCGCATTTCAGCTGTTATTTCTTGCCCGCTCCTCCACTAACAGCCCCATTTACCCTGTGGACAGATGAAGCCTGCTGGGCAGGGCTGACACGGGGCTGCAATGAGGGAGTCGTTGCGATAGGTGCCTGCGTCACAGATCCTGCAGAACTTCTCAAAAGAATCCCTTGGACCAGGCAAACTGAGTGCCATGTATCCTCCCTCACACACCAGTGGATGGGCACTGCCTGGGGGACAGTAGTACGGAAACACGCACCTGGAAGGAAAAACAAGGCAGAGACAAGAGAGAAAATGCTGCAAACGTGCTAGGTTGCCCCTGTCAGGCTGTGAAAAAATTTTGGTTAGATTTATTTTTATCATTATTTATCTGTCACTGAGCTGGAAAAAAAAGCTACAGTTTGGTACATGGGAGTTTACCCTTCAAAATGAGCTCTGGTGCTACACCACTGGAAGCAACTACTACCTTGTACAACTTCAGAATTAATCCACTAGATCAAAGATCCACTAGGTCTGATCAGCAACCCTGCTTTTATTGMAGAGATATTTCACAATTTTCACTTCTTTTCAGAAACTTAAGCAGTCCACCAAGCATGCCAGGTACTCACAGCTGCTCAGGGCCATTGTAAGCTGACGATCCTTCTGGACAGTAGTACCCACCAGGGCATGTCGAAGGCATGGCTGTGCCAACTGCACAGTATGAGCCAGGCCTGCATGGGATTGGACTCACTGAACCTGGGGAAAAAAGCAGAATTAGTGGCTGATTATGCGATATTCCCAGAAGAGCATCCGTTTGTCAGACTGTGAACAAAGGTTTTTTTTTTTTTTTTTTTAAGTGTGTGCTATTGTCCATAGGAATTCCATTTTTCTTACTGTCCACAAAAAGACCAGATCCACTGGGAAGCAATTTGTTATTCAGTATGAAATACTGACACCTGAATACTCATGCTTGGATGATAAAAAAAACTCCTGCTCCTTTCCTAAGGCCCAAACAGCTTTCTTTAGAATYTCAGTTGAATTACAACATGAAGGCATGGTAAGGAAATAGGAATTTAAAAGCCAGGAAAAGGCATCAGAGAGCTAAATCCACTCCTGAAATCACTCCTGCAATGACAATTACTTAGCAGGGCTCCTGCAAGAATGGGGCTATAGTCATTGCYTAAGTGCTATGGCTGAGCCTCCTCTGCACCGTACAGCCATTCAGATTCAGAAGTGGGTGGAAAAAAGGAAAACAAAACAGCATGGACACGTTACCTGGTGGGCATTCATAGCCAGGTTTACAAGGTATTCCTTGGGTGTTTGGCAGTCCTGTCTGTGCTGGATCTGGGCAATAATATCCAGGCGAGCAGGGATCACAGTCTTCCAACGATGCTGCCCCAGGCTGGATCCTGGAGGTGCCAGGTGGGCAAAGGAAAGCATCCCCTTTACCAGGGCACCAGTATCCCAAGGGGCAGGGATGATCTTCAAAATTGGTCAGGCCTGCAGAAACAGAAGACAATAATCAAATAGAGGCTCAATGACCAAGAATAGTCTATACAGAAGGACTCTTAGCTCTCTGTGGACATGAATTACCTCTCCCTTTCCTCATCTCAGTCTGACATTTAATCTTGGGGAGATCTGTAATCACCTCTATTGATGGCAAGAGGTGGTTTTCACCCACCACTTACCTGAAAAAGGGCAGTGATAGCCTGGAGGGCACGCCTGGCAATCTGCCACGCTCCGAGCTCCCGGCTCCTGGCGGTAAGTGTGYGGAGGGCACTTCTGCGGCGCCAGGCTGTCGTCAGTACCATTGCCTCCAGAGCAAAAGTGTCCTGAGGGACACGGATAGGCCTCTGACTCCCCTAGCCAACAGAAAAGAGGGTCACGCACTGTACTGCTGGAATGCAGCTCTCATACCCTCTGCCCACCTTTCCTTAGAATCACAAAACCCCACACGACCCAACCTGCTTTGCACCAGYGGCCTGGTGGACAGGACAGACAGTCCTCTCTCTGCTTTGCCCCCGGGATGCTTCTAAGGGTATTGGCAGGACATGGTATAGGCAACTCAGAACCTTCTTGGCAGTAGAAACCTACAGAAACATATGGAGGAAAAGACAGAAAATAAAACTCAAAAGCCCTCTGATGGCAAACATCTCAGCATGAGTCTYCTTTTGTCACAAGATGAACATCTACACAACTGTTGGGCTGCTGTGAACGTGCACAGCCAAAAGACAAGCCTGTCTTTTGGCAAGCCAAGACTTTCCTGGTCTGGCATTACAAATTCAAGGTGGCATTTTTGACCAGCTACATATCTTCGGTAGATATAAAAATAGAAGAAGCTCCTGAACAACACCAGCTTCTTCAAAGCAGGGTCACAACAAACGAGGCAAGATAACAGCTGCTCACTCCAGCTGGCCTAAAAGCCACTCACTCTTCTATGCTTTACAAATTGCCGAGATTCTCACTGACCTGCAGGACAGAGCCCAGCACAGAGCTTCCCCCAGCGGCACTCGGACARGAAGCGCCAGGAAAACACGTGGCCCTGTGGAGTAGCCTGAGAGCTCCCAGCGAGGCAGAAGTAGCCGGCAGCACACGTTCCCTCCAGCCGCCCGCGCCTGCAGCACACACAACGCAAGGAACAAGCGTTTCTTACACAGGTAAGTCAAATAAAATGTTTTCCACTTATAGAAACACACAGATCGCTTGGAATGAGACAGTAAAAATTYGTGCACATGGGCAAACTGCTTCAGACAAAATTGTGTAGGATTTTCCATTGGACCTGAGCTTAAAACACAAAAGAAAAAATGCTAGACTGAAGTGAACCATTACCTGCAGTAGTGGCCAGGTAAGCAAGTCAAGCAGTCCCTCTCACTCCACAGACCAGTCATATTTGAAGGAGTGAAGGTGCCTTCTGGACAAGGGTGAGGAATCTGGGTGCCTGAAAGGGAGATAGAAGAGAAAATAACTCCCAGAAAGATCACTGTGATCTAACAAGACTTCAGAACTATGTCTGAGAGTAACAAATGATCCCAAAGAACAAGGCAGCACTGAGCTGTGTTGACTCATTGCCAATCTCAGCAATACCTGCAGGACAGTAGGCATGAGGTGGGCAGCGCTTGGGGTCTCCTGCCACTGCTTCCTGGCAGTAAAATCCTCTTCGACACGGAATGCAGGACGCAGAGCCCCTTGTCGGCTGGTATTCCCCAGCAGGGCAGGGCACGGGCTGGGCTGCACCCGAACGGCAGAAGTGACCCTAGGGATGACACGGAGAAGGAATGGGATTGCATGCACCTGCTGGCACTCTCAGAGCCTGCGTGCAAGCCAAATCCCAGCAATACCAAAGCCTGGGGCAACATCTCACATGGATGTAATCAATAACTGATTCAGGCTGTGTGACACTTTGAGCAGTGGAAAATGAACACCTACTAGCCAGTGCTAAAAAGTACTTATTTCACAGCCTGTCACTAAGTTGTACCTTAGGGCAGACGAACGCTGTGGGGCTGAAGGAGCTGAAGTTTGCTGGGCAGTAGAAGCCCTCAGCACAAGGGCCTGTTGGAGAACTCAAACCAGTGCTGGCACAGAAAGAGCCAGGATAGCATGGCACGCAGCTCTCTGGGGAGGCACCACCTGGGCAGGACACCAGAAAACAGTGTTTGAAAACTAAATAAATTCCCTTCAGAGAGCAAGGRCATCCTCTCACAGTAACCAGAAATAATAAAGTCCCTTGTCACTGGAAAGCACAGGAGAAAACCACAGGAGAGTCACTCACCTGTGGCATTGTTCAGGGTGCCTGCTGGGCAGGCAATGGGGCCATGAGTGCCCTCRGGGCAATAGTGCCCGAGTGGGCAGGGCCCACTGAGTGGGAACGCAGGTGTCCTACGTGGAACRGCATCAGTGGATCCTCCTTCACAGTAGTACCCAGGTGAGCACAGACCTGCCACGTGACAACAGAGAGAGTACGACAGGGTACAGCAGAGAGGCCTTTGCCATCTCTGCTTGCTATTTTTAATACTTCCTTCCTCCTTCAGTCCAGAAATCTCCAACCCCTCTGTTGTGGGTGGACCCTTATTAACCAAACTCACCATCAGCTTCCCAGTTAGCATCTCCCCTGCAGTATCTCCCCACGGGGCACAGCTTGCAGGCAGTGGGGGACAGTGCCCCCTCCAAGGTGTTCAGTGTGCCCTCCGGGCATGGTAGTGGGGCAGCAGTCCGAAGTGGGCAATAGTAGCCTGTACATTGAAAGAAGTGCATCACACACAGCTCACAACAGGAGGAGGAAGAGGTAGGAATGTCGAGCTTGCTCAAACCAAGAGCAAATGTGCTATTCCCTGTAATACTCACTGCAGCGGCTCTGGCCCGTGAGACCTCCCATCCTGAGCCAGGGGTTTTGCTCATACAAGTTTCTCACCTCTGGGGCAGCGGAGGGGCTTCACGGTGGCCGCACTGCTGCAGGTGTTTCCAGCTGGGCACGGCAGGCAGGCGCTTGCCCCAGGCATGGGGCTGTACRTGCCAGGCTCACAGGGCAGCTCTAGCCCAGTGCCAGCAGGACAGTAGAAGCCACTGGGACATCTGTAGCCATGAATTCTGTCCAAGGGGCAGGGAGCAGAGTTTCCTTCCAGGCAAACAAACCTGTGTAGAGAATCCAGACCTGAAACAATGGCCTCACAGCCCTGCTCAAAGAGAACAGATGCAGGAGGCACTACCCAAGAACAGGGATCAGCACATTAGGAAACATGTCTTTTACAATGCCATTTTAGTTCTGTGCGTGGGTTTTTCCCCCCCCCCTTCTCTCTCTGCAACTGCCCACCTCAAAACCTTGGCAATCCCCCCTGCCCAGAGCTGCCTGGAAAGTGTTCTTATTCTGGAATAAAAAGCCTTTTAAAATGAAGGATATATATATTTTTAAACTTCAAAGCACAGAGTCCAAGTTCTCAGACTTGCTGTCTTTGCTTAGTCTCCCTTTATCCCCAGGCTTTTATATAGCTCTGCTTTAATGCCACCTAATCCCCACCGACTCTTCTCTTTACTGCCTTCCCAACACTCTCACAGTAAGCAAATATGAGGAAACATAAAAACTAGTATCTCTGTAGATAAAAGCTAAGCAAAAAGAAAATGAGAGGCATGATCACTGTATGCTCTACACAAGGATTCAAAAAATACTGTTTCTGAGGAAGAAATAATTCAGAACACTTACGGGTGAAATGACTGGAAGCAAAAGGAGTAGCATTAAAGAAAAGAACAGCAAAGTTGCCTGTCAGTATTTGTCTCCCTGCAAGCAAGACCTATTTGGCTGAACAGCAGACTAGAGGAATGGATGCTACATGGGAGGGACACTGAAAGACGGTTTGCTCAAAGCACAAGTTGTACCCTGCTGGGAAAGGGCTTCACAGACTTTAGGAGACAAGGGTCATTTACAATCATGTAATATCCTTTATASCTCAGGCTAGAAATCTTTACCTAATACTGTTGTGGCCACATCACAGCATCCTTCTAGAGTTAAGTCAATATCTAAGGAGGCCTAAAATTTGACTAACATGTGACAAATCCTTTTTATTCCTACGAAATTATTACAGAGGGCAATTATCTTACGCATTCCAAATACACTCCTTAATTCTATTTTGGGGTTAGCTTCATCTTCTAGCTGCACTGAAATTTCACTGTGATTTTCTCTACAAGATTCAAGAGCCATCTGCTATCAGAAATCTTTCCCCACAAAGGCCTTTTAGACTACAATGAAATCACCTCTAAGCTTCTCTTTGACAGATGAAATAAAATGAACTTGGGTAGCCTCTTGCTGCTAGGCAGACTCATGAGCTGGACAAATATTGCTAAGAGCACTTGTCTGTTTGCATCATGCAGGCCTGATATACTTCCTTGTCATTTGCTTTTGCACCACCTCGTGGGAGAAGAGATAAAACACAGAAAGAAAAAAAAGATACCCAGTCATACTCTCAGCAAGTGTGATTATAGGCTGAATAATGGATAATAAACTAAACCTATGCAAAAAATAACAGAGGAATATATGTATAAGACTGGGAAAGAATGTGAGGCAAATACAGATACCAAAGGAATGGTTCTGAATTGTCCATCGACAGTAGCAAGCAGACACTCTACAGCTGACCTCAAGGGGTGGGAACAAAGTCTTTGCAGTTTATCTTGTGTATACATATTTGCACACAAGGCACAAGATATTCAGGCTAAGTGTATTCTGGAGTTTGAACAGCTCTGCTATACTCCCAGTGAAGCCCTGGCAGCCGCATTTTCCCAGGAAGAGGGGGCGAGTGCCCATCCCACCATACCCAGCATTGCAGGGCGATGTCTGCGCCACGCTGGACAGCCCTGCCTCACTGCAGTAGCGCCCAGCCGGGCATGGCTGGCACTGTTCTTCTGCCTCCAGGCCCAGGGAAGCAGAGAAGGATCCAGCAGGACAGGGGATGGGATACCCTGTACCGGTGGGGCAGAAATGCCCCGCAGGACAAATATCATTCCCAGGCAGACCAAGGTCAGCAGACTCCACCTGTGTAAGAAAAATAAATGGAAAGAAAAATTGTTATGGAAACAAGATTTGACAACTACTACTAGAGACACGAGAGAGGTGACAGAAAGGGCTGACCMCTCCATGTCTGCTGCCACTGAAACCAACTGAAGTCCCCCAATTGGCATAAAGAGAGCACTGGCAACACCAGCTGCYGCGGCACGGCCAGCCCTTGGAAGCTGCTCTGGGGCAAACTCCTGAAAKGCAGACCTGCACGGAATCCCTTAGCAATCAGGCAGGTGAAGAGCTGTAGGAATGGGTAGAGGCAACCCCAGGCATAGCAAAGGTACAYGGAACAACAACACCAGAAATTATGATGTTATAGTAGTTTCAGCCCTTGTCCCCCAGTCACTCACCCTGTGTCTGAAGGGGGCTGGGCTGGTGGCTCCGTTGGTGCAGTGATAACCTGAATGACAGAATCCAGACGGCTGTGACAGACCTGGTGCTGAGCAATACATGCCTAAAACAAACAGAAAAGCAAAGTCACCGAGAGCACTGTCACAGAAGGTCAATGGAAGAGTGAATCACTGACAGCGATGTGTAAAAGGATCCATTACCATGATTCAGGGAAGAAAAAAAGAAAAAAAAAATCAACATTTTTTTGCTGAGAACATATTTAATGAACTCTAGGGCAGTCTCTTTCTATCTTCTCAGCAGAGCAAACTCCACCACTGAAGCTCGAAACCATTTGAAAGTCGTTTTCATGGTTTGTCCTACCACCACCTTAACATATATTTATTTGCTGCTTACCTGGATCACAAAGGATACAGTGAGACATGAGGCTGCTTCTAGTCTGTGGGTTGTAAGTCCCTTTAGGACACGGGAACTGAGTTGCAGAAGCAGTACCAGCCGGACAGTAGTGGCCAGCTGGACATTCGTTTTCCAAAAAGGAAGAGGAATTTTCTGGGCAGAAGAACCTGGTCCACAGAGAGAATAAAATAGGGATAAAAGCAAATTTAGATTTTCTAGCAATGTTCTGTTCATGAATACTTGAACAAGGATGACTCAATGGTGGGAACAACTAGTTTAAGGGTGCTACTGCACCGTTCTCTATTGACCACAAATGAGAAGTACTCCTGTGTATTAGTGCATTCTCTCAGTTGTTTCCTCATATGCCAAATTGATGGTGTAATTGCAAAAGCCACAGAGACATAATTTTCTTCAACTTGAGTCATAACATATCCACACTGTGATTCATCAACTCACAGAAGTTAATCAAGGCCAACTCTGGCTAGTAATTGGAGATGAACTCCCTAAGGAAAAGCCAGACTCAGCAGCAGGTGATACACCCGGCCCACTTTGCCTTCRCTAGGACTATGGCCACCTGTTGCAAAGAGAACCAGCGCTTCCAGCAGTCCTGAACCCACACAACAGTAAGCTCACGGCCTCAGTCTTACCCTTTAGCACAGGGCAGGCAGCTGGCTTGCCTTTGTGAAGGGTTGTATGACCCTGCTGGACAAGGCACTGGAAGAGCTGTGCCCCTGGGACAGAAATGCCCTGAAAAAGAAAGAACAGATCAGAATCAGCAGTACTTCCAGGGCCAGGGCAGGATGACGATTTTATTTGACACTTCCATGCGTCCTAAAATAAACTACACTGCAGCTYCCCGAGGCACTCACAAATTTCAAAAGCCAAAATATCTCAGAGCTGCCTGAAGTCTGCTGGGAGTTTTAATCATCATTCACAGCAAAGGATAATTTGSTAATTGTGTGTAATAGCCTACCTCTGGGACAGGGGCCTCCAGTCTTGTCTGCAACCAGGATTTTGGGAAGAATGGATCCCAGTGTGCAATAGGATCCCTCTTCACACTGTCCGGTAGGGGCCAGAAGGCCAGCAGCATCACAGTAATGACCAGGAAGACACGGGGAGCACTCAGTCTATGATAAACCAAGGAGATAACAAACTGAGGTCRACTTCAGGACTGGCTCCACCACTAACAGGCCAGTGGTACCTCTGCTGATCTTGGTCATGACCAGACACGGATTTCTCTTACCTAGCTTAAGATAACCAAAATCAAAATACCTTAAGTTGAAACTAAGCATCTCAAGCAACTTCTACAGTAAATGCAGATGCATCTGTAATAGGCAATGCAGCTAACCTAGATTCAATATTTGCTCAAGAACATGATGACCTGCTCTCTGAAGCTGTCAAGAATCTAAGCAGCTTCCTTACATCTACACAAACTGGCTGGACATCCATAATTGGATGRGTTGTCTCTCATCCACTCTGCCTTTGGACTCGATCTTTTCTTTCATCTTAGGGCAGTGACAACACCATCCCACACAACTGCAGAGTACATAACTACCCAAAGAAAGCTACTGCAAAGAATTGCCCAAGTTCATCCCACCTCGGAGCTCAACCCGCTTCTTGTGCTGAAAGTTCCCACAGGACAGGGTGTGGGGACAGAAGCGCCTCGGGGACAGTAATGGCCTGCAGGACAGGGACCCGCTTGGCCTAAAAGAGAGAATCACAGTTAATCAAAAGCAGTATGAAAAAGTGAAAGCATTCATTGCTTAAACTGGGCTGTTAATAGCTATTGTTTACTCATGCCGTGAGTGATTTCCCTACAGATTGCTCACAGAAACAGCTTCTTACACACCTGGTGCTATCACTGAAACACCAGTGATAAYCACTAACACTGCATTAGCAAAAGAGAAGTGGCACCTGGTATCACAGCATCCGGATTAGGCTTGTACGATCCTTGAGCACAATAGTACCCTTCCCAGCACTCGCCAGTCACAGCAGTTGCATTGGGATACTGGCAGAACTTGCCTCCATCACAAGCCCTGCAGCTGGTTCTGCTTCCCTGTCCTTGCTCAGGGCTGTAAGTACCTGGTGGGCAGGGCTGCCAGTTTAAACCTGTTCCTCTAGGGCAGTAGAAACCTGAAAGAACAAATTTGTATTTAAAACATTAATGATGGGATAAAAAGCTTCAGAGACAAAGAATTACCAATCATTATCTTGGTGACTGGATTCATGAAGCTTTATAGCCTCTGTACAGTCAGTAGCCTGAGCTGTGTGGACTAAGTATGACTCTGAAGGAGTTCAGAGAGGAATGAGTTGTTGCTGAACTCACAAGCCATAATGGTCTCCCATATGCTGAGGTTTCAAGAAATTATTYGGAAAATCTAGAAGGAGTGAGGCACCAAAGTGTTTCTGATCCTCAACTCACCCTGGGGACATGGCTTAGGCTTCTCACCAGGGACACAGTATTCACCCTCTGGGCAAGCAAGGCACTCCTCTCCACGGTCCTGCAGCATGTAGGAGCCAGGGGGACATGGAGCTGGACTCCTGGATCCAAGAGGGCAGAAGTGTCCAATGGGACATGGAGCTCCTGAGACGCCATCAGTGGGTGTTGGGGTGTGGGCCCTAGTGACACAGTAATACCTGCAGTAGCGAGTAGAGGAACATATTATTCTTATTTCAACATTTCTACTTGTTGTCGAGCAGTTCTCTCCACATAAAGCACAGCGTTTCTTTCACTCCTCTACTCACCCTGGGCTGCAGTGTCCTGAGGGAGCAGTGAGTCCAGAGCCGTTGCAGAAATGCCCGCCAGGGCAAGGCTGGCACTCCTGCAAATTCCTACCACCTTCACTGCCAGACCAAGTGCCAGGAGGGCACTGTACGGGAAGTGGGGCACCTGGCAGTGTCAATTGCGCCACAGTGAGCAAATCTCATCTCATGCTTGACATGAATTAAGAAAAAATTACACTTAGCAAGACACCGTACCTTCAGGACAGTAATAACCAGGAGGACACGGCAGTCCCGATTCTCCATCTTGGGGGTTTCTTACTTGGGCACCACTTTTGCACCAGAATCCCCCAGCACAGTCTCCTAGATAACAAAAAGAAATAGTAAATACATAACCACAATAAAATAATAGGCATATAAATGCAAATTCCAGAATACAGACTGAAATATAATCACTTGCAATCCTATGCARAGTCTCTGCCAGTCCACAGATCAACAACATAATGGTCATCAATATTTCAGTGGAAGAGTTGCTCCTGATCATAAGGAATAGAGTGTGGGTGGCAGAAGCCAAAAGAACAGTTCCTAGAGATGAAAGTGCCTTGGCTGGCTCAGAGTCAGCATTGCCTCTGTACTGGGCAAGTACTTCAGCACCTGCTTCGCTTTAGGCATGTAGTTAACATATTCTTCAGTGAAGTCCTAAGTTGCTCAAATGCTTTGCTAAACAATAAACATATTTTAAAGGACTTTGCTGAATTTGGGTCTTTATCTACAGGACAATAAGAAATGAAAAATCATCAGTACTGACTGAAAAAAGACAATCCTGACCAAACCAGAGGGAGATCGGTTGGTGATGAGTAATTTACCCTCTCTGCTGAGCCTAGTCACACATGCATCTATTATGTGGAAGGATGAATTCCTCGGGAACTAGGTTGAAACAACAAACTAATTCTGAAAAGGATGCTGAACAGATTTAACACTGAAAAACTCCCCATCTGAAAGGTTTTCAAAGATATACTTTCCTAGATTAATGTTTCTGTGGTCTCACTCCCACCCATTCAACCATTTCTGATTAGAAGAAATTTTTGTTCTTCTGCAGAAGCTCTTGAGGAGTAAAATGAGTCAGTTCACCTTAACTGAGATCAGAACTCAGAAGTCCTAACTTCCGTCCTTGGCAGTAGCTATCAGTGAACAACATTACTCTCTAGCAGTGTGGTAAATATTCTCAGAAAAACAGCAAGGTACCTGTTGGAGCAGCAAGTCCAGAGAGCTCACAATATTTTCCTGCTGGGCATCTTTGACATTCCTTGACAGTTTTCAGTTTCTGCCTTGGTCCAAAGGTTCCTGCAGGGCAGCTGTACTGAGTGCTRCGGTGGGTCCCTGGTGGGCAGTAAAAACCTTGTGGGCAGGGGTAAAGGGTAAAATCAATGACTGGTTCTTGCTGGCTGTCACAGTAATAGCCTGCAGTGGAGAGAGAGGAAAAAAAGCTAAATTAGTCATTGAGAGATTCTAGTTACTGAGCTACTTCTCATTAACAGAGAGAATTCCTAACAGGTAGCCTCAAGCACACGAATACCTTCTGGTATTAGGAATCAAGAACAATCCCTAGGCACACAGAATTTGTTTCAGATTTGCCCTGATTCTTTCCAGAACAACCAGAACAACCCCTGAACATCAGAATTTTCACCTGCCTCTGTTTTACCTTTTTTTTTTTTTTTTCAGATTTTTTTCAGAATTTTCAGAAATGCTTTAGCATTTCTGTTTCCACATAGCCTCTTCACACAAATCTCCCACAATGGGAACAAAGGTACCAAAAGTCTCAAGGCTTTCACCCTCAGGAAAATGCATGAGCAGCATCTCTTATAGGAAGGGCACACAGGATAAACCCTGGATATTGTGAAAAATATAACTCCCATTTTCTGGTCGCCTATACCTCAGAAGCTCTCTGACGGTTTTCTGTGCCTCAGAAGCTCTCTGATCCTGTCACTACTCCCSATTGGTAAATGGACCCCTCTTTGGCTTTTCCACTTTGCAGCAGTGATTCACAGCCAGCCATTTACTTTCATCTTGTCCCACACACATGTATCACTGGGAGGGTGTGCCCCCCAGCCTTGCAGGCAGTTTCATCACRACTTACCTTCCCCACACTCTCCAGTGGGGGCACTGAGGCCAGGTGTCTTGCAGAAAAAGCCAGAGGGGCAAGGCTGGCACTCGGAAAGCATCCTCTGCCCTGGCACGCTAGAAAAGGTGCCAGCTGGGCAGGGCTCAGGTACTGCTGATCCTGCAGCTGTGAGAACGGAAGCAAGACAGAGAGAAATGAACTTCCTAGAGACTGCTCAAAAGTTGGGTTAAGCAGAGAATGCCATGGAAACAGCATTGGTGAACTCTTATTTTTCATTCACAGATCATGCGGTGCTGTACTGCAGAGGACCCACATTAACAACTCCATTTTGCAAAACAAAAGAGAAGTGAAGCTAATTACACTTTAAAGGCAGACAACTTGGGCACTGAGATGAAAAAAGTCACTTACTACTGTCAGTGAATAGGCCAAGAGGAAGACTAAAGGAAGAATCTGGGAATCCAGACTCTAGTCTGGCCAGACTCTAGTGAGCTAGCTGCTACACTGCCAAAAYCACCCAGCAATATATCAGGTATTATATGACTACTATTTTTGCTTCTGGTTGACCCTTAATACTCACGGCAATAAGTCCCCACTGGGCAGATATTCCCAGTTGTGCCATCAATTGGTTGAGGGACAGCTGCACCACCTTGGCAGTAAAACCCAGCAGTACATTGCCCACTGGGAACAGACAGACCTGGAGAACAGAGAGGTTAACGACACCTAAAGCACCAAGACAGGGRGAGAAGAGCAGGAAAATCAACCACTTGTGATTTTACCCTGAGCTAACATCACAAGGCAACACCTGAGCTCTCTTCCTCGCTAGTGCAGGTAAATACTTGAATGAAGGTCTTCTAACGTGTTTTTGAGTTAAGTATTTGTTCCCCAAATTGCTTCATTTCAACTCCCCTTCAAACACATCACCCCTACCACTCCTGCTCTCCAAAGGCAAGTACTAACCTGAGGCATTGCAGTAAAGCCCAGGGGGGCAGGGAAGAGGCTCTGGGCTTCCTCTGGGGCAATAGAAACCAGCTAGGCACTTCCCTCCAGTGGCAGTGGCTGGGCAGAGGCAGTTAGCATTGGTGTAGTTATCCAGATCGAAAGGCTGTGAGGTCCAAGCAGCTGAGACACAGAACCAGCCTGAGAAGACAAAAGAGGACTGAAAAGCTCYGACAACCACAGAACCTGAGTTATTCTGAATGAATCTGAAGGGATGGTGCTGTGCAATACAGAAGCAAAGCAGATTCAAACTCACCTGCATCACATTTGCCTGACACATCTGTCAAGTTCTCCTTCCCACAGTAGTGCCCAGGAGGACAGGGCAAGCAGCTATCCAAGCTCTGTGTCATGGGATCTGGGTTATAGTAGCCTCGAGGACAGGGAAATTCAGTAGCAAACTTGGTTCCTTTCAAATATAGAGAGCAAGAATCTTTCATGAACTGTAAATACTCTCCTGGCTATTAATCCTGCACTATCACTTAATATTATCACTRCCAGTTTATCTGAATTCCATAGCGCACAGCTTGCCCTGCAAGCCAAGCTCTGCTTAGCTTGCCAGTCTCTGGTTAAAACCCATGTCTACAGACTAAAAAAAAAAAAAAAAATGGGCTCCTTTTCTACAAGGCACCAGATCATTATTTAAAGCTTTCCTTCACACAAGGAAGAAAAATCCTGTCTTTAAAATACGGACATTTCGTCCTGGCTCTCATAAATCCTGCTCAAATTATCCCTGAGTCCAACTCACCTTTGGGGCAATAGAAGCCAGCTGGGCAAGGATTTGTGGTGTAGCTGGTGGCATTTTCTGGGCAGTAGTAGCCTGCAGCGCAAGGGAAGCATGCAGCTTGTCTGCTGAGATTGTTGTACGTCCCTGCAAGGCAGGGTAGGGGAAAGCTGGTGCCTTCTGGACAAAAATGGCTCACAGGGCAAGGGCCTCCTTTCTCCCATGCACCTAAAACACAGAAAGTAAACAACAGAGTCAAAAAAGAGAATTGCTATGACCACGCTGATGAGCATCTCTTCCTGGTTATGGCCTCTTGGGATACCAGAAGAGGGATCAAGAGGATGCATGACACAACAAATGGTGTAAATATCAAGAAATTGATGTCTACCCAAAGCAACCCACCGGCTGGAGAGGGTGAGGTTGCTCCRGACAGGCAGTAGTACCCAGCTGAGCAGGGTCCAGAGGGTGCCGTGAGGCCAGCAGAGCTGCAGTAAGAGCCAGGTGGGCACACGGTGCAGCTGGAGTCCTGCCACACATTCAGCCTGCAGAGAAACAAAAGCAGCTTTCTGTGTTCCACAGGTAGACCCTTAACACCTACCCTTCTTGCCAAGTGAAAACCCTAAGGCTTTTATGATCAAGRCAGAAACATGCCTTGTGAACCTTACTGAGCTGCACCCTCTTGCTAAAGAACTGCACACCCAGGGAAGGAAGGTACTAAGCAGTTGTGGAAGAGAGGGAGAAAACAGTAAGAAAAGGCAGTTAAGGCACTAGCACAGCAGAAGCAAGGAGCTCACCTGTGTGAGTAAGTGCCCGCAGGACACGGCTGTGGCACACTTGTGCCAGCTGGGCAAAAGTGTCCAGGGGGGCAGGGGCCACCAGCGCTCATGTTTGTGACTCCGTTAGGATTTGGGACACTTGCTCCTACATCAGAAAGACAGACCAAGGGAATCCTCAGTGACACAGGTTCCTACAGACCAATCTGTACCTCATGACTATAGAGCAATTTCCATAGGGGACTAGAATCATTTAGATATTTTGTCATCTTTTTTTTTTCTTTTAAAGCAAGGATTTACTTTTCTTACTTACTTTTCCTTTAGCAAGGACTCAAAGATCCTGATCCCTAATACCCATTCCCTGTGCTAAACCTGGAATCAGCTGGTTGTTGAAGGGGGCCRCACATACAGAAGCTACTTTGCTTATGTGAGAATACTGGGAGTAGTCCCGAGGTTAAGGGCTGCCATCCACCCTGCGAGGCACGGACCTGAATAACAACCAGCCCAGAGCTGAGTGCTCTGTTTCAGAGCAGTCTCTGGGTTTATGTGCTCCTTGGCAAATGGAAAGCTGGGAACAAAAAGACTTCCTGTTTTTGATGTGAGTTATCCTCGCCTTAGAGGGGTAAACAACACAGGGAGTTTGCTGTTAGCATTTCCTTTGAACTGGACTGCATCCAAAGATCCTGGATTTGGACTTGATCTCAATAAAACATTCACAATAACAGCCTTCCAAGGAGCACAGAAATTGTTAMAGACTTGAAAGTAATCTCTCCCGAGGAGGGATGAACTGCGAAATCCAAACAGTCAAAACCAGAGACTTAAATATGTGCTTGTGTGTCTGGGCGCATGAGTCTCTTGCATTTTGGTTCCTGCAGTTGGCTGCCATTTGACAACCTTCCTCAATAAGCCACAAGGATAGAAATTTACTTCAAAATAAAGTTAAATTCCTCTGATAACTCCATGATTAAAAAACAAAACACTACAGCACCACAACTTCTCAAGGCCAGAGCTTCATCTTTTTTTCCACTCCTTTTTCTCCCTGCTGAATGTTACATTCAATACCTGCTGTGCAGAAGAATCCTGGCCAGCAGGGGCCACTTGGAGAGGATAATCCCCAGTCTCCACAGAACATTCCTGGAAGGCCACAGAGGAAAAGAATAACATTCTCCTGGCAGCAGAAATATGAGAGCTGAGGTACTGCATGCATTGCTTAGGAGATAAGACACTGTGAGTCTAACTATCAACATCAAACCAACTGGGATAAACCAGCATTGCAATCCAAACTGAGAGGTAAAACCTGCATCGGTGGAATAAGAAAGAAGAGATAATGCACAGGGATCACCCTCTCACCCACTGCTTCACCTATATCACCACAGTTCTCAGTTACTTCCTTACCTGCAGGGCACTGCTGACATCTCTCGGCCTGGCCGAGTCCATGGGAAGGGTTGTAAGTCCCAGGTGGACAAGGATGAAAATCATTTCCAGTTTTCCGAGGGCAATAGAAACCAGGAGGACAGCGGCGTCTTAGCCCGTTTGGACAGTGAAACCCAGCAGGACAAGGAAAGCATTTGTCTTGACCTGTGAAGGAAATTTAAGAATTAAAACAAAAAGGACGGAAACAAAAATACTATTTGTGCAAATTCTCTCTGCCTGTCTGTGCACTTAAAGCAGAAAGAGTTGAAACAGCAAGCTGCCTTTGACTCAGCTTCTCAATTCCATTGCAGGAGCTCAGGAGTCCTGCCAACCTCCACATCCCGCCGTTAGATGGCATGTAGGATTGGCAACAAGGAAATCTGCTAAACTGCTCCCTAGCTTTCTGCACACAGAGTACACATACTYCAGTGCAAATATCCCAAGATATTTCAGACTGAAGCTGGAATGATCTAGTTTCTGACCTGTTGTATTGCTGTATTCTCCAGTAGGGCAGGGAGAAGGTGCTGCTGAGCCTGGAGGGCAGAAATGTCCTCGAGGACAGATACCTCCGGTGACGCCATCCTCAGGCTTTGCTGTCTTTGCCCTTCCTGTGCAGTAGTAGCCTGAAAGAGGAAAACATTTGAGTTTTTTTTCTCAGCAAAATTTGTTACAGAAATGTACGGAGAGAGAAAAGCCTGAGCAGGAGAAAAAGACAATGCTGCATTTCTGAGCGTCTAAAAGAGTTCCGGCTTTGTCTCACCTCGTGCACAAAGCCCAACAGGAGCATCTTGGCCTGACATATTACAGAAAAACCCAGGAGCACAAGGCAGACACCAAGAGGCATCCTGGCCTCCTCTCTGTTCATTCCAGGTGCCAGCAGGACAAGGCATCTCTTTTGGCTGTGTTGTGCCAGTAGGACAGTAATGCCCTGGCGGGCAAAAATCTCCAAATGGAAGTCCCACCTAAAGCAAAGATGGTGAACAGAGTTTATGAATGCTCTTTCAGTGCTTAAGTGTCTGGTGCTATGCAAAATGTTCAGCACTCACAGGTGAGGAGCTGCTGGAGCCCTGAACACAGTAATGCCCTGGCTGGCAATGTCCTTCTGGCTCAGTCAGCCCAGCCATGCTGCAGTACATGCCTGCTGGGCAGGGCTTGCAGGAACCTGCCCCAGCTACATCGGCGTAAGTTCCCTGCACAAACACAGAGAATCAATGAATCATTTCTACSAGGGGACTGGAAGCCTGCTGAGAATTATGGACATGGAAAACATTCAATTCTTACCACGGGACATGGGAGAGGCAGGGAACTTCCAGGCAAGCAAAAATGCCCTTTGGGACACACCCTGGGTTCAGCAAGGCCTGTCTCATTGCAGAATGTTCCCTCTGGACAGTCCCTACAAACAGACTGACCACGGCCCTAGAGAAAGAATGCAGAAAGACGTGGCAGATGTCGGATATTACTGCTTACAGGGCAAGTGAATACACTTTGCACGTGTTTTGCCAACTCTCAGACCCCACGGCTGCATAATGAAATTGTTGCTACTTACTGAGAAGTTGCCAGCACCACATGCTCGAGGAGAAACAGTGCCAAGCTCAGGGCAGTAATACCCTCCAGGACAAAGCAGACACTCTGCAGCCAGCTTTGCACCACGAGCCGTACGATAGGTTCCTCTGCAAGTGGCAGGAGAACAGAAGGGAGAGTCAATAAGGAGAGCAAAATGACAAAGAACAGGAGAATGTATCTGGCTTGCACAGATAGACTTTTGGGTAGAGGAAATGCACCATTTCTGGAGCCAAGTGATTCAGAGAAAGCTTGTCTGGAACACCCAGAAATGAAGCCTTTTTTGCAAATACTTCTGATGCTGAAAGGTGCATCTTGTAATGAGAAGTGCTCTGAAATGCCACACAGAAACGGTATCTTTTGTGCTCATGCAGGCCCCAAATGAACAACCACTGCAGCACATGTACTGTACTTACACTGGGCACAGAACTGGCTTGGAGGTCCCACTGGTGCAGAAAGTCCCTGCAGGGCAGGCAGTACAGTCTTCCACCCTGACATTTCCCAACCTGGTACTGTATGTTCCTGCAGGGCATGGGTGCTGGGTGCCCCTCCATGTACCTTCCAAGAAAAAAAAAAAAAAAAAAAAGATGAGAAAACCATCCTGATTCTAACAAGAGCCTCAAAGACCGAAGGGAGAAATACCCCCTGTTCTTCATTGCCAATAAATATTTACACTAGTCCATTCTACAGCAGGAACGTGAAATAATGAAAAGGTCACCACTTACAAGATAGTGCAAATGTTTACACCAGACACTTGATTTTGCATTTTAATCCTCTGCAAGTAAAGAAAATCACAACCATTTGCTACCCACCTCCTTGCTGAATTACTTCAGTGTAACATACACCAATTAAGTCACAACATGCATTCATGAGAGTGCACAAATTTTCTAAAGAGAAATAAATAAAATGTCCCCATTTCTGAGAAAAGTTGCCTACCCTGGGGACAGTAATGCCCTGAGCTGCACCTCCCCGAAGGCACCCGAGCTCCTCCCACACAAAACCAGCCTGCAGGACATGGCAAACACTCCTCTTCGGAAGCCAGGCCTGTCCTATTGCTCCAGGTGCCCGGGCCACACTTGTGCTGCATTGGATGCTTTGTGCCCGGCGGGCAGTAGTGACCAACTGGGCAGGGAGCCGGAGGCTTCTGTCTTCCTCCTGTTCCTGAAAACACCAAGAGAAATGTTAAGAGAAGCTCTATGACCTAATAGGTAGCACACCCGCTATGGACATCAGAAGGACACCTACCTCTCACACAGGCAAATCCAGCAGGGCATATTTCACACTGAGACTTATCAAAGAGGTTGAGCTGATTGCCCACTGTTCCTGGAGGGCAGGCATTGCTTGGAGAATGAGGGCTCGATGACCCCACTGGGCACACATACCTAAAGAAGCACCAGACTGGCTCGGGCAAACGCATTGATGCAAAGGGGAATCAAACTCCACGCCCTCCCAAAATACTAGGATGAATCCTGCTGCTGCAGAAAGCTGAAGCACTGAATCCTAGGTCTGACAGCAACTTAAGTGACCTTCGGAATACAGGAGTATTGAAACACAGAATGGACTGGTTTTGTTGCACACTTTTCACCAAAATAAAAATGGGTTTTCAAGGCAGGCTGAATTGCTCACAATTGTGGAATGTTTGTCAGGGCTTCATATTTCTTACTAGCTATTCGGTGGTAATAGCAGGCTGTGGTGCCTGCTGTGTTTAAGAAAATTCCTCTAGCAAAACAGTTTAAGTTATACCAGAAACTGTTAATAAAATCTTGACGCTCCAGATGGTGCCCTCTGACACTTCCCCCCTCCCAAAAAATCAAAGCAATGGAGGCAAAATACACAGCCCTAAAAAGAAGTGCAGAAAACAACTGCAGCTTACCCTGGCATGCACTCCGAGTCGGGCTGGGCTAAGCCAGACTGAGTACAAGCTGTCCCCGCAAGGCAAGCTCTGCAGTCAGCGCCTTCATCCTGTCCTTGGAGAGGGTTGTATGTTCCTGGTGGACATGGCACTGGGTARCTCGCTCCAGCCGGGCAGAAATACCCAGCAGGGCACTTCAAACACAACCCAATGCCTAAAGAGAAAAGAGACATTTAAGGTCTCAAAGGGAGCAAAAACTACTAAAAAATCCAGAAAATCCTACGAAATCTCATCCCTTTGCCTTCATCTGCAACAAGAATATATGACAGAGAATCATATACAATGGCAATATACACTGCAAAGCCAGCCAGAAGGTGGTGGTATTGGACTAGCTGAATGTTACTGCAGTAGCGGGGCTCCTGGAAGCAATAAAACCATCTGGATTGTGTTCTGAGCTGATAATATGAGAAATAAAATACATTAGAAACAAATAAACACTTCAGGCTGAAAACACAGTCTGACGTAGGTTAACCCAGTGTATTTTATACCCGGAACGCCTGGGCCTCAGTCTTAAGAGAGCCTGTTGTTTCTACAAAAGCTAAGCTGTTTCCATATTTGTATTCTGAATACAGAGAAGGAAGAATGGGTTTTACAGACTGGAGATATATCCAGTATAAACACATGGATACTGCTTGAATGGCAAACATTTCAGCCATGATCACCTCTAAAATGCTGTGTGCTAAAGCAAAGATGCTTGAATTCCAATTTAAAAGAGGACTGGCATGATCAACACGTAATAAAACAATAATCCCTTACCGGTGTTACCACATTCAGAAAGTGCATTTCATTTCAAAGCCTTCCCAAATGCTTCATGTAGAGAAAAGGAAACAAATATAGCACAGGAATAGCTGTTGTCCTCCTGAGTCAGGATTTTTAACAGCACAAAGCAAACAGAGCAATTGGGGATGGGAAGGGAAAACACTGGCTAATTAGAGTATSGCTCCCACGAGCAGTTCCAGGCTGAACCCCAGCTGCTTCCCAGATGCTTTTGGGCTGGCTGCAAGTGCACCCCAGCGTGGAGCTGCCCTTGCAGGCTGCAAGGAACCCTGCAGCATTCTCAGYGTGAATCATGTGGATTTGTTAAAATCTATGCTTATCCCCCCACAGATTGAAGTAGTACATGCAGATTATGGTCTGTTAGGCTGCAAAGCCAGTTTAAGGGTCTCCTCTCCCTCCGTTTTATCCCCATTTACTTCTTCTCATCTCTCTGAAAAATCTGCTTCCCCCTTACAATTTACTCTACGGGGCATAGGTAAATACAAGGCTCATACTTCTCRGTATCACAGGACTTGGATTTCTCAAAACTACAGCATTAGTGCTCTCCAATTTCGAGCACAGGCACAGAAGAGCTGAATCATTCCTGCAGGGAGTTGCCATCTCAGGGAACTATGGGAACTTTCAAAAATTGCCCTTTTTGCCAAAAATTTCATGTAATTAGAACCCAAGTACCCATTATCCTGGAAATCTTAATAATTACTGAATGTTTCACCACATATCTGGTGATTCATAGGACATTCCATAGGTGCCTCCCTCGAGCTCCTGTATTGCCTTAGCCACAGGACAGTAAATAAGCACCATAACCGTAAGYCCCTGCACAAGCACCCAACTCACAGTGTGACTTATAGCAAGAACTATTCGCCACTTGTGCAAAACAAACATTACCACACAGACCTGGCAAGCACGACGAGCTGCTGCTTCGTGTGCGAAGGCCCTCTCTGGGCTTGAAGCTCCCTGTTGGGCACGGGGGGTTTGTAGGGGCTTCTGCACAAAAGTGACCTGTGGAAAGAAGAGTGCACGTGGGTCACAAACTACATTTTGAGTAAGGAGGTAATGGGTCTTTTGCTAGCTGGGGTGGGGAGGATACAAGTGTGTGCTTGCTAAGTCAAGTCAGGGTACATTAACACTGCATCCTGAGGGCAGACATGAATGAGCTTTCATCTAGTTGGACACAAACTAAGTCCATTTTAAAAAACAGATAACTGATTGTGTCAGAATGATTCTCAGTCCGAGCTAACACACCGTCTAATTAAAGGCAGCTTACAGGCACAAGTTCAAGGCAAAGCCAAGGTGGTCAGACAGCTTTTGGTCAACTTAAAGTATCATCTGGAAGCATCCTGACCCTCCCACTCAGAATAGCAGTGAGAATTTCAAGAGCTCTGCTTCAGAGTGACATTTAACCTACCACCTAAGGACATGAGAGTAAGGTGCTACCAGGGAGACCTTTCACAGCTCCAGTCTGCTGAGGTCTGTAGGAGCTCTCTACCTGACTTCTGGACGAGCACTTACTTTTCCAAGAGATACACGGAACTGAAAGCACACAGCTCACCTGAAGGGCAGTGCYGGCATTGTGGCACTCCTGGTGACTCAGAGGGATCACGTTCCTGGCGGATTGGAGCCACCGCATCCGAGCAGCAAGAGCTTCCACTGCACCTTTGGCACTCGCTCTGCCCCAGGGCACTGGTACATGAACCAGGCGGGCAAGGCAGGGGCTCRACAGTGCCAATGTGAGGACAGTAGTGTCCTAAAACAGAAAAGTTACAGTGTGAGGATTTATAGAGAGGCATAGGAGTAATGGAGCAGTACACAGCATTTCGGAGGCAATTTAAGCTTTGAGTACTGAAAAGTAACAGCTAAACCCAGAACAACTGCTGGTAATGGAGAAAGGTGGTACACGACTGATGAAATCAGCCAAAAATATGCACAGGGTAACTGGACAGTATGTGCATCTGCTTTAGGCTGCGATACCTTACACATTAAAACTCGAAAAGAAAGCTTTGCACCTCAGTAACACTTAAAATATTGATAATGTTAAGCTTCTGTGTCAAGTTGTAAAAACAAGAAAAGGCAGCTATGGAAAACCTTGGGCATTTTTTCTGGGTTTGTTTAAATCTGAATGAATACAGTCTTTGAGATTCAATGGCATTTCAGCGAGCTCTTGTTTGTTGAAGGCTACCATTTACATGATTGACTGTTCTTTCACCCGAGTGCATATTCATTTCAGGAGTACCAACAAATCTGCTCTGAAGGCTATGAATTGCTCCCCTCTGCAATATAAGCGGAGACACACAGACATAATCAAAAGCAGAGAGCAGCCGGTCACTTACTTCGATATAAAAGCAACATATCAGAGACACCCAGAACCTTTCATATTTTGGAAAGTGACTAAATATTAGGGCTAYATTTATTCGAGTTAGCACTATTACAGTTAAATATTCTCTCCCTCTATTCCCATTCTCTTTCTCCAACATCATGGGATCTGAAGATCAGCTGAAGACCTCTCCTGCTTCTGCAGTATTTCACCTTCTTAATGTCTGAGATCTTTGCAATTGGGCGGGATCATTTCATCAGATCTAACAGAACAGATGTTGGGCAAGCACAGTCTACCCATTAGAATACAGGAGTGACCGATTTCAACAGTGAAATAATGAATTTCAGCATGAAATATACTGCAAATATTTAACCTGTTGATCACCTATGCAAGAGATTTTCACTTACTCTTTCCAGATTCTGYGGTTAATATGGAGTTCTCTATTCCAGTACTGCAGATTAAGCAACATAGTGACCAAAGCGTCACTATGGTTGTTGTCTTTACGTTCCAGGTTTTAATTGCAGAATACGATGCTCATGAAATGCACTCACCTGGCGGGCAGGGCTGGCATATTGGAGTGTCTGCAGTTGAGAATGAACCACGAGCACAGCTTACGCACCGAGCGCGGCTTGGATTGGGCTCCTGGCCTGCCAAACAGTACTAAGGAAAAGAAGAGACTCTTGTCATACCAAGAAGCTAAAACGGTGCCTCAGGCACCAAGGGTTTTAATGGGGGCAGGTCTTCTGAGCACTAACACTCTCAGAAGCGGAACTAACATCTGCTTCTCCTAACAAGAGCCACTTTTGGGAGCTCACAGATATACTCTATCACTGAACTGCTCAGAACCATTATTTTTGCTGGAGAAAGGCCCATATCCKGCTCTCCTCTCTTGACAATATATTCAAATTCGGGCCCTGGCAGTCAGCAAGAAGGCCCTGGCAGAATAATGTGCTGTACCTGCCTGTTCTGTCCATCCGGGCAAACATATCCCTCCGGACATTCCCGACACTCCAACTCTCCCTCTGGCGAATAATGCCCAGGACTACAGCTCTGTTTCACACCACGGTGGGGATCGCAGGAGTAGCCATCCGGACAGGCAGAGCACCCAGCCCCACTCTCCAGGCTGAGGTAGCCGTTGGGACAAACCTGCAGTGAGATCACAGCTCTGTGAGATCCACAGAACATATGCTTTGCATAAATCCTRTAAAACAGCAAAACTCTACACATCCCCAGCTCAAATGCTAGGGAAAAAAAGGACCTTGAAATGCTTTCCAAATCTGGCCTGTGTGTTCTTGAAAGTTCCTAACACTTCTTATGGTCAGCAGTGTAAATAATTAATCAGGGGCGTGCTTCTTTCTGGGTTGACCTAGAGACAGACCCAGAGAACAGAAACATTCAGCTTTCTCTGAGCCAGGTCAGAGCCAGAAACACAAGAGGAATTTCTGGACAAATTTCAAATTAGACTGCAAAATCTGAGCAGCAGGCTGAAATCAGAYGATTCAAAAGACATAGAGTAGAGGTAGAAAGTCTTACTTCTGTCTGCTTGTTTTCTTCCTCCTCCCTCAGCTTACCTGGCAGGCTGTGATGTTTGCTTGAGCAGTAAGTTCATTGGCTGTTCCCACTGGGCATTTCCTTGGAGCTGCTCGACCTCCTGGGCAACTGGATCCGAAACAACGAAGTTTTAAAGTTTAATTTTTCTATTTCTTCAGAATCCCATTTCCTGACAGCTTCCTGGTGTGTTGGGCTTGCTCAGAATGCAGCCCGGATTAGCTGATGGTCTTTGCTCCCTGGTTCAGCACTACCCAGGATGGCAGAGCCTGTCCAGTTTTACTGAGACCAGCTCAGACGCAACTAGCAAGGACCAGAGCTACAGTTTGTGCCGCACCTCCTCCTCATCTGCATTACAAGGCRGCTCTCAGAATTTTCTCAACATTAGACTGCTCAAATGCCCTCGCATTTAAAGGAGGCAGGAGACTTACTAAAAGCCAGTCGGACATTCCAAGCAGTTGCCGGCTGCGTAGTAATGTCCCTGCCTGCAGTCTATGAGACAGCGGGTCTGGCAGTCTATGTTGCACTCAGGTGAGAAGGAAGAGACTCCTGTGAGAAAGGCAAAGAAAGAAACCTAAGGTGACATAAATATGTCTTGTTAGAAAGGAAGCTGAATGAGAAAGTCTTATGTTCCATATTGAGGGAAACTCCTTGTTGCGATTGTTAAATCAATACGACTTAGGTAACTGGTCACACAGAGCATACCATAGGTAGAATTAAAAATTAACCTCTTGAATTTATCAGTCAACCATGTTATTTCCTTGTCCATACTCTCATTCTCTCTTAACTTTCGGTGGTTACAATTAAACAAAGTTTCTAGGTAAATAATCTGAGCACAAAATTCTGGGGGAAATTCCAGTAACCTTTAGATACCTCTTCTAATTTCACATGTTTCATCAAACAAAAATGAACCACTAAGCTGGCAGAGAAGAACCTTTTGCATCTCCATCTCCTTTCCAAGAGGCCACATTTTTTTTGCTGGAAGGTTTTCAATGGAATGCAATCAGCATGATCTGATGGAAAGAGACAAAATATGAAGAACGGGGTGGGGGGGGGGGGCGGTATTGCTGTGTAACCTCAACCAGGAAACTTCACCTTTCTCTGTATCAATTATCCAACCTACAAAGCAAAGGCAATTTTACCCACCTCTTTTCTAATGTCAATCAACAGAAAGCTTTATAAGGGTAAGGTGATAAACAGCTCCATGAGTAATAAGATATCTGAAACCTGAGCTCAAGGAGTTTTTAATTTAAAATTTCATACCATGCCTAATAATAATTGCAAAATCATTACGATTTCCTAATATAACGATTGTAAAATCAACTGTTTTTTTTCTTCTGGTTTCCAGAACAAGTCTGATGTCTCACATTTAAAGCAGCAGCTTCTTACTGTTACATGAAAACATCACCAACCTGATTTTTTTTCCCTTTCTTAATCAGAAACACAGGAAATTCAGACTAGCTAGTGAAAGGCACATACACTCCTTCCTCTGCCTGTCTTGTTCTGGGAACTCCAAAAAGTTGTGCTGTTCAAAAAACTGCAGCTACACTCATCAGCTTAGGACCACAATGAGTTAAACAGTTGTCATCTTTAAAGTCTTAAAGTTATGCGAAGTGAACAAGAACAGCACCAACAAAAAGGGAGAAACAGAGGAATAAAGCAAGGAAGTTATTCACTGACCTGTCAGGAAGATCCTTAGGCTCCCGAACAAACTCAGCCAACTCAAAGCATTAGCCATGGGAGCCATGGGATTCAAAAGAAAACTCCAGCTGTTTCTTGAGCTTCTGGCACGGCCTTTGCTGAAGCCAAAGGTAACCAAATCCCTCCTAGGTAACTGCTTTCCAGTGCAGCCCCAAGTGCAATGAACACCAAGCTGCAGAAAGGAAGGAGAGCCCAGGACACCAGCCCACGCCAAGTCCCCRGTGCTGAAAGATGAGCAGGGGTATTCAAACGTGAGATGATGACTTGCTGCAGGTGCTCGCTGGGCAGGGAGCTTGCAGGTACGTTTATCATCATCTTGCACGTCTGTGTGGCCACCCCACC